AGCTCTCCTCTGCTCCCCTGAGCCTGCCCAGCACTGCTCTGTCCAAGGTGCTATCTCCTTAACTCAAAAACAACAAGGAGTCCGGTGGCACCTTAAAGACTAACAGATTTATTTGGGCATAAGTTTTCGTGGGTAAAAAAACCTCACTTCTTCAGATGCATGGAGTGAAAGTTACAGATACAGGCATTATGCAGGCATCTGTAACTTTCACTCCATGCATCTGAAGAAGTGAGGTTTTTTACCCACAAAAGCTTATGCCCAAATAAATCTGTTAGTCTTTAAGGTGCCACTGGATTCCTTGTTGTTTTTGTGGATACAGACTAACACGGCTACCCCCTGATACAACTCCTTACCTCAGGAGCCAGTCCTCCCCCTTGCTAGTCTCCTTTGCTAGGCAGGCTTTATATGGGGCCAACCCCGGTCCTGATTGGCTCTCCATAGGCCTTTGCTGATTGGCTGCTGGTCTGCGCAGCCTCTCTGGCTTGTTCCAGCCCTTTTTCTCATGGAGTGGGGCAGCCACCCCACTACACAGTCTATCTGATATTTTCACGTCTTGCCTTCCCTAAAATCAGTTTTCAAACAATGTACGCAGAGCTCTTATAAAACATTCAACATTTTCCCCTGGTTCTTGAATTCCCTGGTGAAAACATGCTCTTTCATAAACATTTCTATGAGGTATAGAGTATGCATCAAACATAGTCAGAACCCTTTCATAGTTATCTTTATGACTATTTTCAGTAAAGTCAAAGGACTTAAAGATATGCTCTGCTTGCTTCCCCATAGCATAAAATAAAGACAATAGCTGTATATCTCCAGTTTCTTGGTTCAGCTTGGTTGCCATGCAAAATCTTGCAAAATATTAATTCCAGTCTTTCCATTCTGAAGGTTTATCGAAGCTGAAGTTCTCTGGGGCATTGAAGAGTGGCACGTTGATGAGATCCTGAAACCTTTGTTGCTTTGTTTCTTCTGTTTGCAACCTTTGTAGCCTTTTCCCTTCTGTTTCTATTCTTAGTTTACTCCTGACACCTTGTCATGTTGTTCTGTATCAGATATGGACTGGCTGTACAGCTTGCCTTTAAACACAAGATATGTTCATCATAAGATCCCTTAATACTCTGCCAGGTATGGCTGAGGTTTGTTTAAAGGACAGATTACAAAGGATGAATATAGGCAAACAACACAGGAATGCAGGGGCAAGATTAGAAAGGCAAAAGCACAAAATGAGCTCAAACTAGCTAAGGGAATAAAGGGGAACAAGAAGACTTTTTATCAATATATTAGAAGCAAGAGGAAGACCAAAGACAGGGTAGGCCCACTGCTTAGTGAAGAGGGAGAAACAGTAACAGGAAACTTGGAAATGGCAGAGATGCTTAATGACTTCTTTGTTTCGGTCTTCACCGAGAAGTCTGAAGGAATGCCTATCCTAGTGAATGCTAATGGGAAGGGGGTAGGTTTAGCAGATAAAATAAAAAAAGAACAAGTTAAAAATCACTTAGAAAAGTTAGATGCCTGCAAGTCACCAGGGCCTGATGAAATGCATCCTAGAATACTCAAGGAGCTAATAGAGGAGGTATCTGAGCCTCTAGCTATTATCTTTGGAAAATCGTGGGAGACGGGAGAGATTCCAGAAGACTGGAAAAGGGCAAATATAGTGCCCATCTATAAAAAGGGAAATAAAAACAACCCAGGAAACTACAGACCAGTTAGTTTAACTTCTGTGCCAGGGAAGATAATGGAGCAAGTAATTAAGGAAATCATCTGCAAACACTTGGAAGGTGGTAAGGTGATAGGGAACAGCCAGCATGGATTTGTAAAGAACAAATCATGTCAAACCAATCTGATAGCTTTCTTCGATAGGATAACGAGTCTTGTGGATAAGGGAGAAGCTGTGGATGTGGTATACCTAGACTTTAGTAAGGCATTTGATACGGTCTCGCATGATATTCTTATCGACAAACTAGGCAAATACAATTTAGATGGGGCTACTATAAGGTGGGTGCATAACTGGCTGGATAACCGTACTCAGAGAGTTGTTATTAATGGTTCCCAATCCTGCTGGAAAGGCATAACGAGTGGGGTTCTGCAGGGGTCTGTTTTGGGACCGGCTCTGTTCAATATCTTCATTAACGACTTAGATATTGGTATAGAAAGTATGATTATTAAGTTTGCGGATGATACCAAACTGGGAGGGATTGCAACTGCTTTGGAGGACAGGGTCATAATTCAAAATGATCTGGACAAATTGGAGAAATGGTCTGAGTTAAACAGGATGAAGTTTAACAAAGACAAATGCAAAGTGCTCCACTTAGGAAGAAAAAATCAGTTTCACACATACAAAATGGGAAGAGACTGTCTAGGAAGGAGTACGGCAGAAAGGGATCTAGGGGTTATAGTGGACCACAAGCTAAATATGAGTCAACAGTGTGATGCTGTTGCAAAAAAAGCAAATGTGATTCTGGGATGTATTAACAGGTGTGTTGTGAGCAAGACACGAGAAGTCATTCTTCCGCTCTACTCTGCTCTGGTTAGGCCTCAGCTGGAGTATTGTGTCCAGTTCTGGGCACCGCATTTCAAGAAAGATGTGGAGAAATTGGAAAGGGTCCAGAGAAGAGCAACAAGAATGATTAAAGGTCTTGAGAACATGACCTATGAAGGAAGGCTGAAAGAATTGGGTTTGTTTAGTTTGGAAAAGAGAAGACTGAGAGGGGACATGATAGCAGTTTTCAGGTATCTAAAAGGGTGTCATAAGGAGGAGGGAGAAAACTTGTTCACCTTAGCCTCTGAGGATAGAACAAGAAGCAATGGGCTTAAACTGCAGCAAGGGAGGTCTAGGTTGGACATTAGGAAAAAGTTCCTAACTGTCAGGGTGGTTAAACACTGGAATAAATTGCCTAGGGAGGTTGTGGAATCTCCATCTCTGGAGATATTTAAGAGTAGGTTAGATAAATGTCTATCAGGGATGGTCTAGACAGTATTTGGTCCTGCCATGCGGGCAGGGGACTGGACTCGATGACCTCTCGAGGTCCCTTCCAGTCCTAGAATCTATGAATCTATGAATCTATGAAGTACTGTATTTCACACACAGAGCCATCTAGTGGCTGAACAGTATAATACAATTTAGCATTCCATTGAAGAGAGATAGGTGTGAAGAGGGACAATCTTTTGGGGGTGAATGATTCAGACCAAGATTTGTTTTTCTTGGAAGAAAATTGCACTGATTTTTCTTTGAGAACTCTGCATGAATTCATTTTTATGTAGAATTTATTGCTGTATTTGTACTTGGATTATATTCATTTGGCTGAATATCTATTAAAATCTTGTATTGTAAATGCAATAAGGTATTTTCCTCAATGCACCTTCATCTTCTGTAAAATTGAATTTAATTCTGTCTCTGGGTTTGTTCTGATGTCTGTTTTTACTGCCAATTTTGCCCCTTCCATAATTACACATGAATTACTACTGTGATTTGAATCCTTTAGCCGCAGGTCCAGTGATTAGGGCACTAGGCTAGGACTTGGAAATTAAACCTGGATCTCCCTAGTCTGCCACACACTTTGTGTGTGATCTTGGGCAAGTCACTTAGCTTCTCTGTGCCTCAGTTCTGTATCTTAAAATGGGGATAATAGTACTTCCCCAACTTACTGGGGTGTTGTGAAGATAAATACATTAAAAGATTGGCAGGTGCTCAGATTAGTGATGAGGGCTGTATAAGTATCAAAGATATATAGATCCTGTTTACTTTACTTGGTTCCTCTGAATGTTTTTCATGAGTAATGTGAGCAAGAGTTGGTCCCAAATATTTCAAGATTGCAGTTCATGGGAATGCAGTTGCTAGCTCCATGTTTTTGGGTCCACCTCTTTTTCATTATATCTGTGGGGGTTTTCATGGGAAAGCTCCAGTGTAATAAAATAGTGTGTGGTCACTACATCTATTTAAAAAGAGTAAATCATTAAAAGTTAAGTGTCTTAGGCCTTGTTTAGGTGCACATGGACTTAATCTTTTTAAAGTGATTTAGTTAAACCAGTGCAAGTTTGTATATAAACACTATTTTAGTTTTTTTAATTTTGAAAAAGCAAGATTAAATCAACAGATTTGTTAGTTAAAGGTCCATGTTCCCACTCCATATCTATAGGTGCAGGCTCCCTTATGTGCACATAAATTTGTGCCACTTACTTCTCCACTCTGCAACACTTGGGAATGTTCAGGGACTAGGCATGGTCTGGGGATTCCCTGGCAGCACAGCAGTAGGCAGATGCTCTTGCATCCTGAAGATCTGCTGAGAGCCATGGGGACCTCAGAATTTGTGAGCTAAGGGGGCAGAATCCCCAGCTGCTGCTTCCACTGATAGGAATAATTTTGTCCCCACATTCTGCAGAATTTATATAAAGTTCTGCAAGTTGAAACTCTGGAATTTTCCTCATCTTTACTCAGGTTATTCCAAGTTCAAATATCCTGCCCTCAGTTATATGTAAGCAACTCAACTGAAGACATTGAGTTAAATTTTCCTTTTAGTTACACCAATGTTAATCTACTGAATTACTCCAGATTTACACTGGTGTAGTTGAGGTCAAAAAGTGACTTGGAAAATCTCTATTACGAGGTCCGGCTGTAGGCACCAGCAAAGCAAGCATGTGCTTGGGGCGGCACAATTCTAGGGGCGGCATTCCAGCCTTTTTTTTTTTTTTTTTTGCTTGGAGCGGCAAAAAACCTAGAGCCGGCTCTGTCTATTACTACAATGACATACAAGCAAGAAATAGGCCATCTTGACTCTCATATCTAAGCTGAGTTTACAGAACTGACAAAAAAAATTATTGTAAGCAGAGCAAATGTGATCTGGAGTCTCTGACAAATGATAACTCTGTATCCCCATTATGCCATCTTTTTTTTTTCTTTTACTGAATCTCTTTTCTTAGTAGAACTGCACCTCATCTGTTGTGTCACAAATTGTAACATAAATGCATTGTGTTAATAGAAACTTACAATAAAATACAGCACTTACAGTGTCTGCTTCTTTTCCATCAATCATCTCCAGATCTTTCAAAAACCACTTTTCAGCCATTTCATATTTCTCATCCAGATCTATTCTAAAGTGTTTCACCATAGATATTTCTACTTCTCCACCTTTAGTCACTGCAAGACAAAAAACTAGTTTACTCAGACAATTGCTTTCCAAAATATCTGAAAATGAAATACTTCATCAAGCTGCATTTTAAACAATAGTTTAAAAACTAGAGCTATATGAAACTTGATGGGTTTGTTTGCACAGCGAGCAGAATTTAGCCCAATGTTTGCAGCCCATAAAGTCTATTTGCTTTTAATAGATTCTTTTTTTCACCCTAACCCAGCCTGTAAAGGCGAATCTTGTTTGTGGGAAAGCTTTGTTGTTGGGTTTACTAAAGAATACACTCATTAAGGCCCTGATCCTGCCTTTAGATCTGTGCAAGTAGATCCTCATGTGTCCGGAATCCTACTTACTTCAGTTGTGCACCATGCACATGCAAAGGTCCACTGAGTTGATGGACTGTGACCAAAATCAGTTCTGAGTCTGTGCATTTACATTAATGTTTGTATACTTCCCATGAATGGAAGATCTGTGTTTTCCTATAAAATATTAATATAATACAAAACAAAAATAACATGTAGTATTTAAGAAATACTACTTGAAGTTCCAACTTGTCTGTGATTATCTTCTGCTAATAGGGAGTAAGTGAAGAAAGGATAGAAGGATAGAAAAACTCATCATAATCCGCATCAATATTAATTAATTGCGTTAAGCACTGAAAAGGAGATCAGTATTGTGGATTATGCATGCGAATTAGTGGGGGAAACACTGGAATTTGAACACCTATATTAGGTAGGTTTATTTTATTTTCTCTTTTTTAATTGTCAGATGGTGTCTATGGCTTCATACAGAGATTTGTAACTCTGGCACCCTTCTGAGAAGTGGTACACCTCTGACCTAACGGCCTGCTTCTTCAGCATAGTACTCCAAAACTATTCTTCCCCTGCGGCTGCAGCCTGACCTCACCACTAGACATCATCACATACCCTCTGGGGGAGTGGTCTGGTCTGAGAGTAGAAAGCTGTAGAAAAAGCTGTAGAAGACCAGTATTAGAGGCACAGCATGTTTTTAAAATGGAATTCCTGGACATCATCTGGCAATAACTTCTTCCTGTCCAAATTTCTTTTGCCCTGCCTTGTTAGCAAGAAATTAGTAGTCCCTGTGGAGGAAGCTTTATGCTTTTTTGTCAATCATTTTACTGTACTTAAAAAAATAATAGAAACAGATTTAAAATAAAAACAAGTGTTGGGCCTGATCTTGCAAATTCTTGCTAAAGTGTATAACTCCATTTACAGAAGAGGGATTACTCCTATAAGAATTACTCCCATGTGCAAGGGTTTACTGGGTTAATCCCGTATTTCATCCTGAAATACAGAGACAAACAAACCCAAAACAACAAATACACTGGATATAGTTTTTCCTGCAAATGCACAGTAAAACGGGGTGGCTTGCTTTTTTTTCTTCCTGGCCCTGTCTGTTGGGAAACCCAACTAATTACTGCTTTTTCTAGTGCTAGGCTCTAGACTCCAACTAGGAGTTGAAATCATATGACATCTGAGAAGAACATGTGTTAAGAAACAGCCCTAGAAATAGTGAAGTCCTAGCTCATCTAAAATATGTCCTCACTTCTTTGGTAATTTAGGTTATCCAAGTTCCTATTCCTTATATTCCCGTGACAAAAATTGTATAACATCAGCATTTCTCAGATTTCCCATTTAATTTAGGTTTGAAATTTCTTCTTGGGGGAGAGGAGAGACATTATAGTGCCTTGGATTGTTTAAATTGTTTCCTGGGGTGTTTTACAGAAGAAAAAGAAATGCAGTTTGGGGATGCTTGTATTTTCCAATGGAAGATATTAAGATGTCATTGCAATCCCTCCTAACCACATCAAAACGCAGTTGCTAAAAATGGCTAGACATCTCTACATTTCAGTTTTGCCACTAATTGGGTTGATTAGTGATTCAACATAGGGGAGTATATAATATCCTCATTCCAGACTTTTACCATTTGCCAATATGAAAGTGAAGAGAGACAATATTGGGAATATGGCATGGAAATAGCAGCATTTATCTACCCACATTGTGGTTTTATTGTAGTATAGCTTTAAACGGGATAGTCTCCTAAAGGTTTCTGTTTGCATCTATGCAAATATTTGGTTATTTACAATATTTTCTCTTTCTTACAAGCTATTGACAGGCATAATACAGGTTAACCAGGAAGAATAAATTGAGACTACTATTGAAAGGATAAGATTTTAGTTAGAATGTTTTGATCTTACACTAATTGTGCTGCTAGAATATATACTTGTCACTTGTGAAGAATTAGAAAACATTTGTCTGTATTTAAAGGATATTAAAACAGTAACAATTTTGTTTTAAAAGATTTCATGCCTGATATTTGTACATCTTCTAAATGCACAAAAATGCCAACCTGTTTTCAGGGTTCACAGAATTTTTTAAAATAGAAAAGTCAGTAAAAAGTAAAACAAATTTGGGCTCCTTTTCTCTTAATCCCTTATGGATACTGCACAAAGCCATCACCCATTCTGACCTTATATGATATAACTGGGAGGCTCTATTCAAGAAACTTCCAGGATTAGAAAGAGCTGTTTAGGTCAGGATTAAGGACTATATCCTGCAAAGTGCTGAGCAACTTGAACTCCCAGTGACTACAGTAGGAATTGGAGGATGCTCACCAACTTTCAGGATCAGATTTACTCTGTGCCCACCACTTACCCAACTATGTTAGAGTGGGGGGTTTTCTCTCTCTCACACACATGCACACACACACTCACTCTCCATTCTTAAATTTCAGTATATTTTCCATTATGTCTGCAGAGATTCTCCATTAGGTGAATTTGTTTAGATGATTTCTTCACTGGTTTGTTCTTTTTATTCTGTGGAAACAACACCCAAATATTTCAGAAGGTGCTTTTGCTCTCTTTTCCCTTTGAATGTTCCATAACATAACTTTAATCTGATTTTTAAAAAATTGATATTTGTCATAGTTGTACAAACCTATCAACCTTCACAAAAATTCCTGAAGCCCATATGTAGCACATGGTTTGAACCTCAAGAACAAAAAGGGAGTAGAAAGTAATGTTCACTTCTACCTACTAATCATAATATTTATAAATTCCCTAATTCTGAACAGCTTTCAGTGGTATAAAAACAATACAATTTCATTGATTTCTAAATGTATTTTACTAGGTGATATTTGTCAATGCCTATTTAATAAAGTTATATAGCAGACACATTTGAAATGAATTTTTTTGTAAATATTCTAGTAATAAGGTTGTGCCACCGTGAACAATCTTACTTTATTATAGTAATGAACATTCACAATCCTTTGGCTTAAACAAAGATGTACTTCAGGCAATGAATAACAAGAAACTATACTTAAACACAATGAGGGGATGGGGACTGCAAACACTCTAAAAAAAGAGGAAGAGAACAAATGTTTACTGAAGAATGTTATGGTTATTATAAAAATACAATTAGTATTATAAAATAGCAGTCTTTTAAAGGCAATTAGCTACACAAAATATGCTTGCAAATTGTGAATAGTTTTCTAACATTTTGTATTGGCTATCTCATTTCTTTGTGTATTATAAACAACTATGTATCTGGTGCTTTTCAGAACTGGTCTGAAGTAGGAAAAAATGCATACTCTTTTCCAACCCTATTTTCAACTTCCTAAATATGTTGGCTACAACTTTCCAAAAGTGCAGGGATTCTGAGCAATGCAGTAGGTTTCACCCTGTAGACAAGGAAATGCCCCGAACTAGATACAAATGAGAAACACAGAGACACTTCAGACAAGGCTAATGGTTTCAGACTCCTCTTGCTTTATGCATGTCCACATTTGAAGACTGCAAAGGAACTGCTTGATTGAGACTGACAGCAGAGACAGCAATCTGGCAACATACTGGCCTGTCCCAAAAGATTCCAACCCATTTAATGCCATTAACTACAGCGGGAGGAAGTGTTGCAGTTTAGTTGCTCGCCACTTATTTCAAATACAATCTCGCATTATAGGCTCCGCTACTTTTTATTCAGGCAACATTCCCATTGAAGTCAATGGGAGTTATGCCCGCATTTAATCGTGCGGGATCAAGCCCTATATATATTATTGCCCAACATCATAGGACCAAATTCTTCACTGATTTACCTTTTTCTTGTTCAAACCATTTATTTCAGTGGCGATGCCCTGCTATAACACAGGGCGGCAAATTTTACTCTCCCCCTTCTCTTCTCGCTGTGTGAACAGTTTGTATCCAATCTCAGCGATGCATTTGGAAAACGCATGTGGCTAAGGGGCTATCCAGTTACTGTTCTATACTGTCACTCGCTTTATTACCACACACAATGTGCTTGGGCCAGAGGCTATTCCTAAACATCCTCATGTGGAAATCTAGGATCCTTCTTACTATGCAATTATAATCTGTTGCACATACTGTGAATTAATGAACGCGACGCTTTAAGCCTTCCATTTAACAACGGAAGATCCTTCAGACAATGGACAGCGGCGCAGGCACGATCGTAAAATGTAGGCTATTCGTGTCAACAGCCAACATAAAGGAACGAGGCCCCAGATATCCGTCTCCTCGGGTTTAAGGTTAGGAGTCTGGCGCGCAGCGGAGCAAAGGTAGCTGTCAGTTACACTTCACCAAGAAGAGAGCCACAAGGTCTCACGCACGAGACTTCTGTGCCATCTTCTTTGCTTGTATCTACACTTGGTTTAATATCGAAACAAGCGCCCTGCGTTTGTTTCAATTACACTAGGCCAAAGGCTAAGTTGGACGCAGGATCGTTAGTTAAAAACCTTTCTGAGAGGAGCAGCACTTCCTAAGAGTCCAGTACACCGGCGTCCCCTCCCACCCACCCTGCTATTCCCACCACGGGACAAGTCTCTGCTCTAAGGGCAGTTGTCCAGACCGCCACGGGGAAAGAACTTGCATTAGAGCCCTTTGAATGCAACTTCAAAATAATTCATCAGTCTAGTACCATGCACATTCCACATGCAAGTAGCCCAGGATCCGCGAAACGGGAAGGTGCAAGGTCGGGTGCCAGGCCAGCGTGCTGCAGGAAGACTCCCCTGAGTCACAAAACTAGGGCAAACGTCCCCCTCCAGCGCCTGGCACCGTTGCCATCAATATAAGAGCCTGATGTGCAATGCAGATGTTGGAATGCACCTAGTGACCAATGCAAATCAGGGCCCGAGCTGGGCCCGCAGCAGGACCCAGCATCGTTTGCAGGCTCGCTGGGAGCCCGGAGCCCGGACGCGAGTGGGAGAGGGCGAGCCCGCCGCTTGCTCGCAGGGCGCGGGGCTCCTTCCTAGAGACCGATACACCTGCCCCCGCCGCCCCTGCGTTACCTGCGGCACAGAGGTAAAACGTGTCGTGGGCTGAGCACTCGATCTCTATGAACTCCCGCAGGCTCTGCCCCAGGGGGTGAAACAGCTTCTTTTGCAAGTCCTCCTTCACCAGCGAGGACATTTCCTTCGCGGCAGGCAAGGCTGATGGCGACTCTCTCTCTCTCTCTCTCTGGGTCCCTTGCTGCCCCGTTTCGCGGCTCCCGAGCAGGTGCCCGGGGGTCTCGGTCTCTGCAGGCACCCCGATCAGGCCTCAGACAAACCTCCAACTTCCCAGCCTCCTGACAGGAGCAGCCGCCTGCCGCCACTCGCGCCCAGCACTGACTCTCTGCGGCTTGTCCGGAGTTTGGTGGTGGTGGGGGCATACTCGTGCATATGGGTGCGGCAGACATATATAGCCCCCGGGCTGTTACCCTGCACAGGCATTTTTAATATCAAACCTTCAAGAAAGCCCCACGACCTCGGTTTGATTCCATTATACCCATCAGTTAACAGCTGACTGGAGGTATCGATTGGGATCATCTTCCATTAAGAATATTACCACTGGCAAGAGGAAAGGCAGAAGCAGGGCTATCTACCCACATTTTCCCTCCCTCCTCTCCTACAGTAGCGCGGCTGCCGAACACTTAACTTTCCCCACAGGTCTGCGTGCATTGCTTCAGAGCAAAGTGCCAGCCAGCTCTTGGCTCCAGACCGAAAAGTAGCTTCAGCATTAGTCCAAATCCAGATTTTCATCAGGGTGAATCTGGCCTATTGTTTGGCAATCTGATCCTCCAAACTGACCCCTTCCTTGTCACACAAGGCGTTTGCAGCAATCACTGCGGTGTCTTGTGAGACACCTTTTCAAGTTCTCACACCCATCTCCTCCTTCCCTTGTCTTCAAAATTAAATCAGATCTCATGTCCAAAAAAAAGGTGTGACAAATCTGTCATTATCAACCTCTGTTTGCAGAGGTTATAAACTTCTTTGTAGGCTAATTTCAATTTAAAGGTGTCATGGATTTTTAATAGCAATTTGAATAGATGGTTTTGCTCCGATATGATGCTTTGCTGATCTAGCAATGAAAAAAAATCTACTTTTAATGAACTAACGGCTCTATTGTCCCGTCAGTAATATGCACGTGTGAAACTCTCATTTAATGGTACAACTTATATGAAGCTGTTCAGTCATTACTTTTGCACAGTATGGTAAGTGGCATGCAGAGAAACGTGTCGCTGAGAAGACATGGCAAAGTATTTTTTATTTGGAAGCAGGGAGTTTTACTTGAGATTTGCAAAGCTCTGAAGGCATGTTGCAAACTGATCAGGTCTGCCCTATCTGTTGTCCTTGAGAACAGCGGGAGTCGCCGGGACAATTGAACAAACTAAAAGGTAGACCATTACAATCAAACAAAAGCTACAGTTCTTTATACAGCCGTGGCAACCTGTACAATCTACTTCTTCAGGAGGCTATCAAGTCAAATAGTTAACAAAACTTTTTAAAGAGATTGGACAGCTTTATGACCAGTAATAATATCTGCCATTATGAGATAGCTATACCTCATGCTTCAATAAACTGATTAGCTGCTTGAGCTGAGAAAGAATCTGCCTGTCCTCATGTAACACTATTCAGGATTGGCCAGATGCATTTTGGGGGGAAAGAGGAAGCCATCCTCTGAAGTGTTAAATACCCCCTTGGAAGCAGAATACATAACAGGTATGGCTATGCTTATAACCTATGGTTAACTATGCTTGTCACCCAGCAGATGTTTCCATAAGGTTCCTCAGCAGTACAGTATCCCTTAATTTCAAAACTTGCAATAGACTGTTCCAATCTTTGATTTTCTTCCATTCTTAGATGCCTGTAGCAGCTGGCTGTTGCAATTATTTCTGTTTTCATATCACATCCATCAACATGGTATTTAAGCGCTTCATTTATTTTTCATTTCTTGTATTCTCACCCAAATCATTTCACTACTTACAGCCAATTTTTATCTCACTGCCTTAGTAAATAATTTCCTTACAAAGGATCATCTCCCCCTCCCCCACTTCTTCTTCCCTGTACATAGATTGTACCTATGGATGTTAATTTAACATTTTTCAACTTTGAAAACTCAATGGCAACATTTGCATTTACTTCTTTTCTTAAATGAAGTCAGTTCTTTAGCTGCCATATTTATGGATCACATTTAAACTTTTAACTTGCCAAGTGACTGTCCTCTTTCACTGTCTGAATCACGTTGGTGCTGCTTCTTGTCAACACATCTTTGTTGCCTGGTGGGAGAGGCTTAGCTCTTCTTCCCTGTCCACTGAGGCTTTAATTTTAGTTTGTAAAATAATGTTGATTGCAACAGCTTCTCTCTTCTGCAGGGTTTGTTGTGTTTCTAATGTCACTAACTATTGCAAGGAAAAATGACACTAGAGTGTGATCTCAATTAGTATGATATAAATTCATAGTAATACCACTGATTTTTGTCTCTGGCCTATGGACTCCTGCAATGAGGATCTTGCAGGTGAGTTATGAAGCTGAAGAATATTTTTCCAAAAATTGTTTTGTTTTTATTACTAATATTCCGTAGCATCATAGATATACTTGGTGGTTCACTGACATGACATAAGATGTAGTCACTAACTTATAGGTTTTTACATTCTCAGAGCCTAATTCTTCCGTGTTTGTGAGCAGCAGGTCAAGAAGAGCTCTGCCCCTAGTTGGTTCCTCCAGCACTTGCACCAGGAAATTGTCCCCTACACTTTCCAAAAACTTCCTGGATTGGAAGGTTTAGGTTTGATCTGTTCCTTCCACATTTTTTAAAATATATTTGTGAGTCTTAAGTTTACAGTATATTTCTGCAATATCAGGAATAAGGCCCGACAACTGCACCTGCTCAGTCTCCTGATGCCCTAAAAAGCTGGGCCATATTAGCCAGGCTCGCTGACAAACTGCCCCTCCTGATTGGCTGAGGAAGCTAGCAGGCCTGTTCTTAAACCCTGCAGTAGCTTGCTGGCTGGCTGTTCAATGTACATGCTGTGGAGTCTCTGTTTGCTGGTGCTTGCCTTGCTTCTGCCCTGTACCTAGCATTGACCCTGACCTCCACCTGGCCTTGTTCTAGTCCTCCTGTTCCAGCCTCAGAACTAGCCCTGCTCCTGCCCTCCCAGACTCCAGATAATCTGGTTCTGATCTTTGATTCTGATTCCTGGCTGGCTCTGACTCTGCTTTGATCCTTGGCTCTGGCATTTGGACTCTGACTCTGGGTCTGACTCCTGCTCTGACCACTAGGCCAGATCACCCATGACCTGGTCTCCTGGTATGCTACTGATTCAAAACATTAAACTGGATTAATTTTGAACAAACAATTCTTACACCCAGATCCTCGGTTACAGCTGAGGAGCACAGCATAGTTTAGGAGGAGTGCGAAGGTGGTGGCTTCTATGCCACCCTGATCCTAGGCCAGATCCTATGTTAGGCCAGACCCTGACATAACTTAGAGATGCCTACGGCTGGTGTGGGCAGCTGGGGATAAGCAGGGCATAAGGGTGCTCAGTTCCCTGGCCATGACTCCTCTGCTGGGATGGGTTGGTGTAAGAGAGCCATGAATACTTGATCTTGACCATCTGAGGATGCCCCTACACTGGAATAATTGGTAGGCCAGTTCTATGCGCGGACTCTGCCAGGTTAGTGCTTAGACTGTAAACTCCTCTTGGTAAGGGAGTCTCTGTCTATGTCTTTCTAGGTATTTACACAGAATTAACACAAAATGGCTCCTGCCATAATGTGGGCACTATGAGATGAGGATATAATAATAATTAATAACTTACAACTGAAAATACCTTAGCTATGCTGCTTTCAGAAATAATTGCACTGACTTGACCTGACTTCAGTGGAGTTACTTTATTCGCACCACTGTGAGAAGGGACTCAAGTCCCCCTATTTCACTGGCAGTCTTTTCTGCATAAAGACTGCAGAAGGTATTGATAGTAAGATTAATAAACACATTGCTTTTATTTCAAAATATTAAAAGGACTTAGCTTAAAAAAAATCTGTTTTTTAGTTTAGATCTTGTCAAGAGTTTCAAAAATGTTCGACACTATACAAATAATGAAACGGTTTGTATATTTTTTTTTAAATGCTCTGTGATGACAATTTGCATGGCTTTGTTCTCAGCCAGGCAGAATTTCAAATATCTGAGATATTAATTAAGCCATCAGATATGGGGCTTGCAAATGCATAATAAATATGCAATATTGCACAGTGAGATTTTGTGTAGTGAACTTCTTAAAAGTTACAAATGCAGCTGCTATCTGTTCATACACTGTCTTGCACACTGACAAAATTCTCCTAACAGATTTGCATTGTGAAACTTTACTTTGATTATCTGTTCTCTTTGCATGCACAGAACTTCCCTAGCATATAGGCCAAACAGAATATCAGTCAAAATCCACTGTGTGGATTCAACAAGATCCCCTAGATAGGCTGTTTACATGCTCACTGGGTGGACCAGGGCAATACTTTCTTTCCCATAGCTTCAGGGAAGGTTTAAAAAATAATTGACTCTGCGGATGTACCTATTATCCCTTTTCTGATTGTACCTGTGTTTTGGATTGGACTCCTTTTTTTAAACCTGCGAATTCAGAGGTGTTGTAGCGTGCAGCTATGATGTGAAATAACAGCTTGCAATCCTCCCACTCTTACTGCCCACCCTTTGTATCCATCCATCTGTCAAGGATGTGTTGAAGCTTCTGCTGCCTCAGACTTCAGTTCATCACCATCAGTATTTATAGTGTCATGATGAGAGGTTTCAGTGGTTCATAGTGCCAGAGTCCTCCTTAAGAAACTATTATTTGTCTGACTCAGCTACAGTACATGATGCACACTCCGTGCCATGTGCCCGGAATACTTTTCTGACACTTTTTTAAACCATGGGCTTATAGGTACAAACTACCTTTTAAAAACGTGTATGGATCTTTCAAAAAAGCTTCAAATATATATAAAATCTTCATTTATTTATTATGCCCAGGTTCAATGCCAAGGCATTCAGGGTGCTGTACAGTTAAAATATAACTCCATAAAAACAAAATAATTAAATATTAAAAAGCAATCTGAACAGCTCTATTATTAGAGCTGTGCTAAACTCATAAGATTTTGGAA